GAAGCGGCAGAAGCAACAGAAGCGGCACTCGTCGCGAGTGCAATGGAAGACGAGGCAGCAGAGGCAGCAGAAGCAGCAGAAGCAGAAGATGCAGAAGATGCAGCGGCTGACGCAGCAGAAGCAGCAGAAGCGGCAGAAGCAACAGAAGCGGCACTCGTCGCGAGTGCAACGGAAGACGAGGCAGCAGAGGCAGCAGAAGCAGCAGAAGCAGAAGATGCAGAAGATGCAGCGGCTGACGCAGCAGAAGCAGCAGAAGCGGCAGAAGCAACAGAAGCGGCACTCGTCGCGAGTGCAATGGAAGACGAGGCAGCAGAGGCAGCAGAAGCAGCAGAAGCAGAAGATGCAGAAGATGCAGCGGCTGACGCAGCAGAAGCAGCAGAAGCGGCAGAAGCAACAGAAGCGGCACTCGTCGCGAGTGCAATGGAAGACGAGGCAGCACTGGCATCGGATGCCTTTGAAGAAGACGAGGCAGCACTGGCATCGGATGCCTTTGAAGCGGACGAGGCAGCAGTGACATCAAGTGTTTCTGAAGCGAACGATGCAATCGATGTCGAGATCGCTGAAGCCGTAGCTGCCAACAGTGTCGCCACTGATGCTTGTGACGTAGACGCAACAGTTGCAGCGCTCGCAGTTGCTGCAGAAATGGCAGAGCTGGCACGACGTTGAATCACGCTCTTCACAATCGACGTCATCAGCGTAGTGCGCTCAGTGCTCGACTTGATTGTCTCGAATGGCATGGCAAGCAAAAACGACGAGTAGCTGCCGCCCACAGTGCTCACACCAGCAATGTTGGTGCCGGAAGCGTTGTAGTACAGTGCAGCCATGCCGTTTCCAACGGTAGTCAGGATGTCAGGGGTTTGAACAAGGTAGGGGTTGCCAAGCGCGATGACCGAGTTGAACGTCACAGTGCCGCTCATCGTGAAGCCTGGGTCGACAGCCTGGCGAGCAATGAATGGCGCGCTGGCAGTAGCACCGGCGTAACCAGCACCCAGGTTGTTGGCAAGGAAGGTCGCACTTGCTCCACCAGCCGCTGCAAGACCCGAAGCGACGTGCGAGCCGCTGACAATCAAAGAACGCGGGTTGGTGAAAGTAGCAGCAGCAATCCATGTGTTGATGACAGCTTGATGCGCGGCAGGGAACACGTCAATGCCAGTGTTCTCGCCTGCAAACCAGATCACAGTATCGTAGTTCACCAGGTAGTCATTCACCCATGTCGGGTCGAGCAGCGTGTTCTTGGTGGCCGAGTCGCAGCGGTAGCCTGCAGCCTGTAGCGCACTAGCATACTCGTATACGTACTCGCGTGTGTAGCGGCCCTCGATATTGTCGTTCGTGTGGATAAAGTCGGCGTCAAAAGCATCAACCACAAGAATGCGCGGACTGCTTCCAGAGTTGCGGTACCCAGCGACTGTAAGCTTTGTAAGAGCCTCTCCTCCAGCATTGACACCAACAACTTTGAAGTAGTACTGCGTGTCGACCGCGACCAATCTCGTGCCACCACACACGATGCTGTTGCCGTAGTTTCCTTCGATAACCACCAGAGAACTTGACCCGAAAATGACACCTGCGTCCCAGCCGCGACCGTCGGTGGAGGTGTACAGCTTGTACACTGACGCAACTGCACTTGATTCCAGCGGATCGGTTGGCTGAACCCAGCAAAGGCAAATGTTTCCGGTCCTGACGGTAGAGTAAAGGTTGGTGACCGGCAGAGGGATGATGGTAGGAGACGATGGAACAAAGTACTTGTGGATGCCCTTGTAGATGGCACGACCCAGCTGTTGGTGGAGAGTGATCATTCGATGAGTCAACGACCAACTTCAGAGCGCATTCACCAATCTGTCGCACACAAAACCAATCCGATTACCGTTTCGCGGAAGGATTCTTTCGCCATCAGCGCCATTTCAGTGCCGTTGAACACATCAATGGTGTATGTGATGAACGACGGCATCTTGGTGTTTTGGGTCAATTCCGTTTTGGACGCATCGAGGGAGCCTCCTTGGTTGTTTTGTCCGGTTGCCTGCTGAACGTTCACGCGCACGCTAGTTGCCGCGGTGCCGCACGCCGTGTAGAGCGCTGCACTGAGACCGCTGGGGTTCTACAGAGGTCATGGAACAATAAGCACAATTCTCTCGAGAGAAATCACAACGAGCATCGCCTACTTACCGTGTTGGGTGTTACAGTTGAGACACCCGAGCCTCCAGGGACTCCACTTGCACCAATACCTGCGTACAGCCAGTCAGCGCCATTTTGCCTGTTGGCAAAATCTGCATCCATCTTCTGGTTGAACATGTAGGTCGAAAACTTTGCCCTGGCCAGGTAGTCGGTATCAAGGGTGGGCGCTGAGTTGGCTGCCACTTGAAGACCCAGGGTTGAATACTGGCCTTGACTCATGTAGTACAGAAAGTCCTGGGCTGACAGCTTCCAGCGTGGAATGCCAGCTGTTGACGCTCCGCATCCGACGCGAACCGCATCAACCATCGCAAACTTGCCCGAAATGACCGTCATTTTGTTGGTAATCTCGACCTTGATTCCCGCCGCAGCAGTAAAGTAGTAGCGACCAAGATACACAAAGATCGAGTCGAATTGATACATTGGAACCGACACTGTCTGTATGCCGCCGGAATGCGTAATGCGAATATCTGGAGAGCCTCGGTTTGACGTGGCAGGCCAAGTCATGTACACGGGGTAGTAGCCAGACGTGGTAAGTGTAGCGGTAAACGTGGCTTGGGCAGATTCCGAAGTAGATCCTGCGACCCAGTGTTGATTGGAGCCATATCCTGAAACGCTTGTTGCAGAATCCCATCCGCTGCCTGTGTACGTCACTTTCTTGGCAGTCGCGGTGTCATTGTCGTTGATGATGACTTCTGTGGGAGTCTCAAACCAGCGCTCTCGAGTGGAATAGATGCTGGCACCAGCATTGGCAAGGTACTCTTGAATGTAGCGAATGGTGATCTCGTTTGTGAACAGGTCTTGCCGAAGCGATCCTGTACTAGTACTGTAGTAACCGGAACCCGAGTCCCAATAGCCTCCGGTCGACCCAGAGCAAGTCAACCAACCCATCGCAGGCGACAAGACGACATTCTTGGTGGACAGTTGCGGAGCAGTCGAGCTGGCAGCGTTGACCCATTTGGTTGGCAAATTGTGGATGTCTGCTTTCGCGGTCAACGCTACGAGCACGAGTAGAGCACCGACGACGACGAGCAGGCGCGCCATTGCCATTTGCTTGCAGTGTTCGGTGATATCTGAATGACAACAAACAAAAGACAAACAACAAAAGTTGGATCAAATCATGAGCGTCGGATCTCCTCATCACCTTTGCTTCACTCCTGCCTTCCCCCTTTCTTAGCTGCGTCATAACACTCATTATGACGCATCGTCCCTCGCTACTACCGGTTGTTTCAGTTCACCCAAGAATTATCGAGAGAAGCAATTCTTAAATTCATAAAATGTTGTTCAAACAACCGCGTTCAAACGAGTCGATCTCGATGCATCTGAGACTCCGATTGCATGAAACTTTTGAAGTGAGGGTGAATCAAGATGGTGTGAATGCGATGCCGAGTCAAGCCAAGGAACAAAGCAACTACCCAGTTGCACAAAGCAAGAAGGAACAACCGTTTGTTCTGATTATTCTGGATGTCAAAACACGCACACTGATTCTCTTGCTCTCCCTCATCTCGCGCTTGAAGAGGGTAATCCTGGACTCTCTTCTCACTTGCAATATCCTCTCTTCTCACTTGCAATATCCTCTCTCTCTCCCCTCCCCCCCGGCCTCAAAAGCCCACCATGAATGGGCGCTCTGACGGCATGAACCAAGTCGCTTGGATCTTCGTCCTGCTTTCTTTCTCTCCACTCCCGTCCGCGCTCTTGCCAGAGTCATTCAATGCCCAAGCATGCTATTCACTTGCGGCACAGCAATGATGACGCGCGGCTGTCAGGGGTGGGAGGGAAGGGGAAGGGCATTGCATGGCTCGCGCCAAACCACGCTCCACCTCTGAGGGAGACGAAAGCACTCCAGTTCTCACCCCTGTCGCCCAAAGCGAGTTGACGCCCAATCGACTGCCTTCTCTTCCAGGGTTTGCATCCGGATCTCCTTCCACTGGTCCCACCTGTCGACAGACACTTCCTAGAGCTAGCCTCGCCATATGGCTTCACACCCCTATCACTTCAAAGAGACATCCGCCCACTCCACCACCCGTGTGTTTGTGGCTCCTTGCACACCGTCAAGTCGATCTCAGGACTCACGCTGTGAGAGAGTTGCAGGCCGCGAAATCTGGCAATGGTCGCTCAGCGAGACACGGCGAGAATAAAACAAATCAGAAAACAAAATCAGACAACAAAAACAGTAACTGCTTCAATGTCCGAATTCAGTCATTTTCACTACTTCTTTTGTCTTGCTTCAATAATGACGACGACGCGTCGCTTCGTGTGCGACGACTTGTTTCGCTTCAACAATGTGTAAGAACAAAAACAAAAAAACCAACTTCAAACAAAAACTCGTTTCTCTGAGAACTTTTGGGATTGCGTTTTTTCCCCTTTGCTTTTTTGCGTTGTACTGATGTTGACTCAACTTTTACGACTCTGGTGTGTTCTCTGTCTGATGTTGAACTTGATGAATGTGATGTTTAGTAACTTGGATCCGTTGACTGAGACGGTGAGTAACAAGCAAGCAAATGCGCATCCATGAGGCGCGAGTGATTGCAATGTTGCTCAACGAGCAGAGAGCGACCTCGTTGACCGTTGACCGTCGACCGTCGACCCTCAATTCTTGATCTTATTGGACCAAGCTTGGTCCTTATTGATCCGTGGTGATCACCGGGAGGAGCAGCAGCCGCAGCAGCAGAGGAACTGACTGACTGACTGCCTGACTGACTGACTGGCTTCACTCACTTTGGTCTCTCTCTGCTTCACTTTCATTGTCACTGTGCGCATGTTGGGATGTAGTACAACCTGTCATTCTACTTGCAGTACCTTGCGCGCTGGCCAAACTACTGCGAAACGGCAGAGTCGACCACAGGACGCCTGATGGGCTACAGTACGAACAAACATCAATCCACAATGCACTGTGACTGCTAACTCATG